AATTATTATTTTTTTTTGGTCAATATTATTAATGCTTTAAAATATCGCAATGTATACTAGATAAACTCACGAGAACATGAAAGTGAATTTAACCTTCACCTACTTCTATACTGTTGTTTCTTTATCGGATAATTATCGAGTGGTGCTTCTTGCTAAGCAATTGATATAAGGGATTCTTTCGGTGCAAAACCAAACCCAACGATTCAGATTATATTAATCGCTGGCACGATAATGGAAACAGGGAAAAATGTTGGCTAGGGAACATATAATTTCAAAAGTGCAGCTTCAATGATTCTCAAATTAATTCTGATTTCCCGATAGTTTGAAGGAAGGAATTTAGTCCACGTGCATGGAACTTAATTCCATTTTTCTTTAAAAACTTTCCTTGATCATACATTTAGATGACTATGCATCGTGAGGGAAGTGTATATGAATGAGCCTAAATGTATAATTCAACAATGTAGACAAATAAGCAATATTGATTTTGCAACGTGCAGTTTCGTCTTAATTATACCAATAAAGACCCAGTGATTGTATTTTTAAGCAGAAACATCCTAGTTTTCTTTCCCTATGGAATATATTCATCTTTGATTTGCACAGTGACATTTATAAATTATTGAATACCATCTGTTCAAAGCGAATTTAGTTACAATATTCAGACATTCTTTGTGGTTTGTGATGCATTAAAATCTTAATCCTTCAGCACAAAGGAGTGTATTTTCACATCCCGACGACTATTTGGTCAATGTCTGATGTCTAAATATCACCTGTCAATAAATAATGAGTTTGTCTCGTCATCATTCAGGCTTGAAATCTTTGTTTTTATTCTAATGCAATCGGTATTTATATTATTGGTAATCATATAAACCAAGTAACACTAAATACCTGTTACATGTATATTCACATGTTTTATCTCATTATGTTTATTAATTACTATTCTCTTCTGGTCGGAAAATACATTATGGTATTATTTATTTAATAAATCTTATCTTTTCAGAATACTTTTTTTTAAATAACGGAACTAAGAAAGGTACACTTCAGTAAAATTTTTCGTGCATGAAGAATTACAGAGATACAGTTAAAACTGCCCGTGCGTGAAGAATTGCACACAAGAACACAAACAACCGTGACCCATTTGCAGCATATTTATACCCCCCCCCCTCCCTCCTTGCTTGAAAGCGGAGGTCTATAGTGATGGGGGTGTGGGGCCGGCCGTATGTCAGTACGTCCGTCTGTTACGCTTTGGGGTATACATCTCTTATCCGCAACTTCTCCTATACCACTATAAAATTTAATGATACTTTCACAGAATCTTTATTACATAGTGCACTTCCTTTTTTACTTTTTGATCGGACACTTGTTTTGGGTCTCCCATACCAAAACATGGACTTAGCAATTATAAACATATAGGAGGCGGGGGTATCATTTTGTGAGCTCAGTGCTCACAGTACCTCTAGTTTCTCTGGCTTTCAAATAACTTTAAACTAAGGCCGTGACAATCCTCTAGACAAAGCATTCTTTTATGTCAAAATTCTCATTGAGAAACCATATTCTTTTACTTCCAGTTCTTACCTTGACAATGTCCAAGTGACCCTGGTTCGGGTTGTGATTCAAAACTGTATCCATAGGCATCTTTTCGACATACATGTACATACTTTCAAAATTTTCCTTTACAATTGTAGGAATCGGGCATATGAGTTTATTTACACTTTCAATCTCCGCGATCTTTAATCTGTGCAAGGAATTTGATTCTAGCTTATGAATCACATTTTGGTGTTTAACTACCTTCCCGCCAAGTATGAAATTCTAACCTTCATCAATTCTAAACCATATGGCGTTTGAATTTGCTAAAAAAATCTATCATGGCGACAGTCCTATACCAAGATTCTAATATTTCTCTGTTACTGTAATTTAATCCACAGTGATCTTGACCTTGTTCAAATCTCTGTGACCTTGACATTTTTCGAATTTCATTGTTCTCAGATTATGAATTGACAACGTATTCGTTCAAATTTTGAAACCTGTACGGTGTATTAAAAACACAGAGAAATCAGACTTATCTCAGACCTACATATTTTATGGGGTTGTCTCTCTTAGTATATTACTGATGTTTAGACTTTAAAATTTCAAACAATTAGGAAGACTAGCGACGAGAAGCACCTAAGTTCTTAAAACTTTATCTTTTTTTCAAAGACGTATCTTGTAATCTACATTTTGAACATTAATAAATAAATCCTTTTAAATATATTTCCTACAGATATTCCCTATTATTGGTGATATAAGACTTAGTATATAGTTCAAAATGACGACCTTAAAGGTGCTTTGACACAGATTTGAAGTTAATATTTTCTCAAATTTTCTGTATAATTTCATGACTTATATGTTGCTATAGCATTTCATAATAAAATATAATTAAAATCTTATTTCATCTCGAAGTTATTAAAACAGTTTACGTTTCACGGGTGTGCTCAATTTGTTAAACTCTGTACATCACAGAGCACGGACTGACAATACTGTTGAGTTGGTTTTGCTTTCGAACATTTCTACTCTAAATTATCTGGATTATAGATGTAATATTTTTCATTAATACATGACAAAATCGCTTCTTTTCTTAAATATTAAGGATAAAGTTAAAATTTGTATAAGTGCAAAGATGTGTTCATCAAACGCGTCCTGGAATTCGTAGTTCCAATTATTTCCAGATAAAATAAGTTTTTGAACTCGTAAATTTTCATATCTTGGTCATCTACAGAATGACTTTGTTAAAAATCATTCTGTTTCTACATACTACATACATTCTACATACAAGTACTTTGATGTTGATATTAAAAAATGACGGATTTCCTCGCGCCACATTCCATTATTCAGGGTTTCAGCATTTGTTGAAGCTACACAAGAGAACTTAATTCCCTACACAAAACGACTGTGACATCGACTTTAAATGTTTGCAATGCATTTCAAACGCTTCTCTGACCAAGAATTCTTGATATGAAAAGATATTTATTTCAAAGGTCTTTGAAAAGACATGCGACCGTTTTGAGTCTTTTTTTTTTACGTGCATTTATCTTGTTCTCTTAAGTCTTATATTATAGATTTTAAACAAATTTTTATGACTTCCAGATCTGTGATTTAATATTTTGTAGAAAAATAACACGGATCATCTACGACAGGCATTTACAATTATCAAAAATTTCTTTTCTGGAATTAGATAAATTTGCACTTTACACATTATTTTTCCAGTTTAATGTTCAGTTAAATTAGTAAATTGTAAGAAGAACAAAATAATTTTTATAAAAAGATACCTGACGAAAGTCATTTTCGCAAACTGTTGCATCAAGATCAGAAGAAAGATTTTGAAATTTATATCAGTATGAAGAATTGTCTATAGCTGTTTTCAAATATAAATGAATTACATGTACGTACATCTCTAGGCTGTAAATGAAATAAATAGAAAAAGCAATTGAGTTTTATTTATGAAGAATAGTTAAGGAAGTTAAATTTGTCTATAAGTCATATTCGAATATTCAACAAGAGTGTTTGAATACATTCGAATTTTCGATAAAATAGAATTAATAAGTTCTGATTTATTTTCAATATGCATTATCCAATACTCAGGACAGGTTTTGAGTCTGATTCGAAGTAAAATTGTATCCATACAATAAATATATATTATTATTGACAGGCGCGGATCATCAGATCAAACTCGACGCTTCGCGTCTCGTTTGATCTGATGATCCGCGCCTGTCAACTCGACGTGATACGACTCTTCGGATCAAGTTACTGTTGTAATGATAAATTTATTATATACCTATTTACAACCAGCAAAATATAATAAAAGGAAACTTTTTAGATCAATTACATAACTTTTATACATTAAACAAACCATTTTGTCAAGGAACTTTTTGATGTGTGAGAATAAAAACGTCATTTTTCTGTGTACTACGTCATCAGTTTCAGAGAGGGGTGATATGGATTCAGAAAACCACAGTGTGATGATCCGAAACGTCGGATCACACCGTTACGTGATTGCGTAAATTCAACAGTAAAACTGAGTGATAAACAGTTGGGTATATAATAAAGAATTCTACATTGTCAATGTTTAAATTATATAGATTTTAAATGTATACAACCAAAACAGTATTGAAAAATATATTTATTTTTATATATATACATGTAATATCGTTTTACCAAGGACAAATTGTTGTGTACAGTTAATATTTAAAGATTTAGCAAATGAAACTATACTTTTTTAATAAAGGCATGGATTAATTGATTTATCTCGGGTTGTATGCATTAATGTTCTAAAATCATTATCAGAAAATCAATTAAGTATGAACATTGTCTATGGATCCAGAGGTGTTTTTTTAAAAAAAAAAGATTTCAAAACGGTGTATCTTAAGCAGATAATTGTTTATATATGAGAAAATCAATACTTTTTGAAAAGGATCCTTTGCTAATAACATCCGCAGGTTAAGTCTATATATAGAAAATATTAAGTGAAAAAAAGGTGAAAATGGCCGGATATTCGAATCATAAATACACATTAGAATAACTTATCAAATGAATAGTATTCGTTTAAATCCATAATGAAAAGAAATATTTGAAACGACAGATGCATACTTTATATGTAAGAAATCGAACACTCTATGCACAAACTCAGGAAATTTCGACAAAAAAACCCCTATTTTCTTCGTTGTTCCTTCAGCCTTTTTGTCATTCGATAATATTTTGGTTCAATTTCTTATGCAATACTTTTTTTTTGCTTTTTCTTTCTTTCTTTCCCTTTTCTTTTACATTGTTCCTAAACGTAATTGTTTTTAAGCCATGGATACGTTAGATGTGTGCAGGTGGGATTCAATTTCAATCTCGCAGAGAGAGTCTGTTCAGCGATAACCTTAAGCTTAGAAACGACATAAATCTTTTCCAAAGGAATACAATTGAAAATAGAATTGAATGAATAAGATTTTAAGAATAAAGTCTTTATTTTCCACTATTTGCAGGTTTGCCGCTATTTTGACCTGTCTTATACTAAGTGTCTTAGCTACAATAGAGGAACTCAACGAAGAATTCATCACACAGACAGTGTTATATATTGTGAGTAGAAGTTACAAGTTACAAATGGAGATATAGTTATGCCAACTGTAATAATACTAACAAACTAAGATCCCTATATTTACAATGTAACTTCTGGAATATATACAAATACTGTAATGAAATTGTATCATCTAGAAACTTGAGAAATTACTTAGTATTACAAACCTACGATGTGATTTGGTAAACAAAGATTCCTTTCTCTTAATGATCTTTGGATTAAATATACAAGACGGTTATTTGTGCCTTTATGCTCCTATCCGACCAAGAATGGTTTTAATGGCAGTATAATGAAGATGGATAGACCTTTAAAGTTACATGTAGATTTTTTAGATACTATATGTTTAAGGTTAATTGTTTAAGTGTAGATCACAGGCCTTTAGATCGTTTTATTCCGACTAAAAAACGGGGGTATTTTTTATACCCCCCCCCCCAGTTTGTCACTCGGATTACAGCGATCTAAAGGTCTGTGGTCTACATGTTCATTTTCAGGAACCCATTGTACTGGTATGGCTTATAGCAGAATTCGGGGTTCGGATCTGGGCAGCAGGTTGTCGGTCTAGATATCAGGGGTGGAGAGGGCGGATGAGGTTTATTAGACGCCCTTTATGCATAGTCGGTAAGACAGCAAAAATATTAGATGTTGTTTTCTTTATGTTTCCTCCTTCCCCAGTTATACCCTGTACTATATGTCCAGACAACATGGCCTCTATTTATGACATAGCTTTGAGTCAAGGTCATGGTTCACATTAATTTTTGTCATATACAACAACATACCCAAGTTTGAATTCGTTCCAATCTAGGGTAACAAAGTTATGATTTTACAATCGTATTGGCCATCGACTTTGATCTGAAGATATCCTTGAATACATTCATGGCAAACTTTTTCGAAAGGGGCAACCACACAAAAGGGTGAAACCATTCCAGTCCAAGGTTAGAGAGTTGTGCCCTAAATACAGTATATTTCAGAGGAGGTGTAAATCAAATGTAAATTCTCAAAAACTCCAAAGAACTTTTAGAAAATTCAAAATCACAAAATTTTTCAAAAGTCAGTAAGATTAAAAAAATGTGACTTTTCTACATTTTAAGTCCTTGCAATAAATTGAAAAACTAGACTTTTAGATGTCTTACACAACTGCTCCTTAAAAAATGGAACTCGGAAATTTTCATATCTTGTGATTGGTCATCTACAAAATTACTTTGTAAATAACCCCTCTTATTCTACACATACATGTAAGTACTTTGAGGTTGATATTAAAAAGATGTTGAAGCTCCTTTTTGACAATATTTATGTAGTCTTTGGAGACCAGGTCTTCCAACAATCTGTTGAAATTCCATGAGCACTATTTGTGTTTCTTTATCAGCCGACCTGTTTTTATTTTCCCATGAAGCAGAATTTTTTCAAAATTTTCTACATGAGAAGAAGAAAAAACTTTTACTGAGCCTTCAACTCGACATTCAGATACACATGTATCGACGACGTTTCATCAATTAACGATTGTTACTTCAATCATATATCGACTTGATATATCCCAGTGAACTCGAAGTAAAAGACACTACAGAGTCTGCCACATCTGTTTCATATTTTGATGTTTAACTGACTATACACGATAATGGCCAACTTATATAACTAAACTGTATAACAAACGAGATGACTTCAGCTTTACCATATTTATGTAATATTCCACTATTATCTGCATATGTATTTATGTCTCCCAACTTATTCGAAACTTAAGAGCATGTTCTGAGTACGATAAATTTTTTAAGAGAGGCAGGCTACTGACAAATAAGTTGATGTTAAAGGGATTTCAACAACCTCGTATACAGTTAGCATTTGGTAAATTCTATGGTCGTTATAATGACCTTATTGGCGAATACAATACCTTATTAGCGTATTTTGACTGGCGTACTTCATACCAATTGCTAGGCTTTTGTTTTATACTAAATTAGACTACAGAGTACTCTGTCTACCGTCGCCCGCGTGGCGCAGTGGTTAGAGCGTCTGCTCTAGAGTCGCGAAGTAAGGAGCTGATCCTTACGTCGGGGGTTCGAATCCCACTGTGGGACGTGGAGACCGGTCCTTCGGATGAGACCGTGTAAACCGAGGTCCCGTGTCGCAGTAGGTGCTGGCACGAAAAAGATCCCTCACTGCTCAATGGCCGTAAGTGCCGAGTATAGGACAAAATTTGCAGCTCTCCACCGGCAAGTGGTGGCGTCTCCATATGAGTGAAAAATTCTCGAGAGGGACGTTAAACAACATACAAACAAACAAAAAACTCTGTCTACCTGATCATTACTAAAGTCTCATGACGGGTGTGACCATTCAACAGGGGAAGCTTACTCCTCCTAGGCACATGATCCCACTCTAGAATTTCCAGGTGTTTTATGCCCTGTTCACAGATTTGCATTGTTCGTAGGTTTTTTGAGATCAATCACAGTTCGTTATCTACACCTATTTCATTTACTATCTTATTGTCCAGTGACCTTGAATCTGATATATGACCCTAAGTTAGAGTCATGATAAATCTGATATATGACCCTAAGTTAGGGTCGTGATACACGGTTAAGTCATAAAGCTTTCAACATCCTCACAACGTCAGGAGTTTTATTAAGTCCACATATGGCTGTGGGACCTGTGAAAAACATTTGATTTCTTATGGACAGCTTCTCTTATTGAGAAGTACTAATTAAAATGGGGCTTTCATAAATTGACATAAAAATAAACAGAGAGTAAGCAGTTGACACCTAAAAGCAAGTAGTTACAGGTTGTTTTTCTCTAAAAGGCTTAATGTGATTGGTCGAGAGATAGGAAAAACAATCAAGATTAGTAATTTCCCCGAAAGACTTAGCTGCAGCCAGTCCCAAAAAATTTTCAGGGATCCAATGTCCATTGATGTCTCCCGACGTTCTGAAGATGTACCTATCAGATACTAAAAGTTTGAATCTGTACTAATAAAAGGTTCAAAAGATTTTTACAGACAAGATTTTGTAAAGAAAGCCAGATAGACAACCAAACCAAAACCAGTTGAACAAGACAAACAGTACATGTATATTCTCATTTTGCTAGCTAGTTGGAGTTGACGAATTTGCGAATTCAGGAAATTCTTTTTTTTTAAATTAGCAATCCTCATATACTGGATTCTGCTGAAACCTGCTTTCTTCTTTGAGACTATAGTATTATCAGAATCAATACAGAGACCATTGTCAACACAAACTTCTTTAGGTTTTGCAAAATTAGAATTAGAGATACTCAAATAAATTTAAATATACGTTTCTTTATCCTTTCAGGAGCTATCTACATGCAACAAAGCTCCTCCCATTAATTTTTTCTTCCGTGGTCATGTTTTTTGTACATACATGTATATGGTGTGGGTGTGCGTCTTTGTAATAAAGCCTTTTCAAATACTACTACATGTATTTTGTAGTCTTGGGATTTTATAGCGGTTACGATAGAAGGGATAAAATAAATATTTTATCATTACTAGACAAATTATTAGGTTTAAGTAAAAATATTACTGTCAAATTTTAAAAATATAGTTCTCGATGTACCTTACACCATCTAAATATGCATGTTACATATATAACTGTACGAAACAACAAGTACTTTCTAATGACTGTTTGAGGCGAGATACATTGTATGCCATCGATTTCGAAGGCTATTCAACCTGGACGCTTGTATTTTAGTAAACAGTACACGTTCGTACGATGCTAGAAACTGTACTACTTTGTAGTGACTGCATCGCACACCGTGCTTGTAGAATTGTTGTGATTGAAAAACGTAGATGTTTACTTTTGCGTCAATATTTGCGTCAGGATTTTTAGGGCGGTATTGATACTTTGTCTATGAAGGAAAATCCCTGTAAATCCTAATGCAAATGAGTTTTCAAAAAAAAAAAAAAAAAAATAAGGAAAACTACGTCAAAACGGTTATGAAATTGGTCTAAACATGAACTCTGTGATTAGTAGCAATTTGAACTGTTTTGATAAGTACATATAGATACGTGCACGGTAACACGAGATTCTAACAATCTTTATTCCACAAATATATGGACAAATTAACGTGTAAAGGGGGGCATACTGGTCATTAGGCTAAATCTCTATATTTTATTGAAACTACAAAGGGTATCGAAAGGTTACAGTAGAATTCTGTGAGTATGGAATTTCACTCTTTTTTCGCTTAATATATCTTTCTTAATAAAATTATATATTTCTATATATAGACTTAACCTGCGGATGTTATTAGCAAAGGATCCTTTTCAAAAAAGCATTGATTTTCTCATGTATAAACCATCTGTTGAAAAAACTAATATGTCTGTAGATGTCTATGAAATTGACTCAAGGAAATATGAGGCATTTCAGTTACTTGAAGGATTACATGTACTTTGAAAATATAATATTGTTTTGTGTGATGATCGTAAATACTTAGTGTATTTTGCCAATGAGATCCACAGATATAAAAAGGCTCTTTTTTGTCTATTTCTTCCAGACATGGTTGTGATTGTATCTAGTGTCTTTGTGTTAGTCCTCGGAGCGGGAAACCCAGTGTTTGCTGCCTCTACACTCAGGGGTTTGAGATTCTTCCAAATTCTACGAATGGTCCGAATGGATCGGCGCGGGGGGTCGTGGAAGCTTTTGGGATCAGTCGTTTGGGCTCACAGACAGGTAGATCAAACATTGAGGAATCTATCAATAATTTGATGAATGTAACAAATTAAATGATTTAAGATGTTGCTGGAAGAAAAACATCAAAGCTCAAAGTCTGTTAGTAACGATTTCACACAGAGACATACTCGCTCAACAATCAACCTATTGGTTATCTTGATTTGGAATAGCTTTTAAAGGGGCTTATCATCATATTTGATACTATAGTTCATATTTTTTTAAATATGCAATGTTTATATCTCTATTCTTCTCTTTTCCTACAGGAACTATTGACAACGTTGTATATTGGTCTTCTGGGACTATTTCTGTTCTCATTCTTAGTATATCTTGCTGAGAAAGACGCGGATAAGCCCAAATTTAGAAGTTATGCCGATGCACTGTGGTGGGGTGTAGTGAGTATTGATATGTGGTTTTTATTTCAGGTACAAATTTGCAATATTTCTGCAAAAAAAAAAAATAGAGGCACTGTGCGAGCCCGCAAAATAATAATCCCCCACCCCCGCCAAATTTCTTTTAAGTGCACATTCAAATTTTGTAAATGTGACCTTGAACTTGCCAAGAAGACTTTAGTTAAAAAATGACACATCCTCTGTTTATAAGTAATCTTTCAGTGAAATATAGACATGCTGTTCCTCCATTACAAAATTATAGACCGAGGCCTAAATTATGAAAATTACACTTTTTATACCAATGAAGGTCATGACACACCCTCATGTTCACAAATAAGTTATACAATGTAGCCCGGACAAGAATTTTGTATCTTTATGCCAGTGACCTTGAATTTGCCGGAATGACTTTGGGTTAAGGTCGGGACACACCCTTAGATCGACGGCGATCTCTGTATCAAGTATGAGCTTCCAGGGTTTTCCATTACAAAGTTATAGCCCAGACAAGAATTTTATACGTTTTCTGCTAGTGACCTTGAACTTGCTGGAACGTCCTTGGATCAAGGTCAGGACACACCCTTGGATCATAAGAAAGCTCTATAACAACTATGAGCTTCCAGTGATCCTCCATTAAAGTCAAAGTTATAACCCGGACAAAAATTTTATACCTTTTCTGGCAGTGACCTTGAACTTGCTGAAATGACTTTGTGTCGAGGTCTTGACACACTCTCGAGTCATAAGCAATCCCTGTACTAAGTATGAGCTTTCACTGATTCTCCATTACAAAGTTTGGCCCGGAACAAATAATGTATACTTTTTTGCCAGTAACATTGAACTTGGCAGAATGACTTTAGGCCAAGTTCGTGACAGTTGCTGGTCTTTCGGATGAGACCTTAAAAACCGAGGCCCCGTATCACGGTAGGCGTTGGTACGATTAAGAACCCTCACTGCTCAATGGTCGTGAGTGTCGAGTAAAGGTCAAAATTTGAAGCCCTTCACCGGTATATGGCGACGTCTCTACATGAGTGAAAAATTCTTGAACGGGACATAAAACAACACACAATCAATCAATCTACGTAGAAAAATGACCCCTGGTCAATATACTACGACTAGTAGGGTTGTTTCTCGAACGTAGAATATATATATATATATATATATATATATGTTAAATGAATGGCTCCTTTATTATTTTGCACATTGAGCACAGGATTAATGATTTATTGTAAATAAGATTGGTTTGTCTCCAGATCATATACTGCAGTATGGTTCTCCCTATTATTGCTCCTGTCATTTAGATAAAGTCTGCGGAAATTAATTTTTTGTTGGCTTTTCAAGGAATATCGAATTTCTAACATGTTTGCCCCCCCCTTCCCCTTCACCCCGGTCCTTTTCATTACTTTTATTCTTCCTTAAGACTTAGAATTGAATGCTTATTCCAAGTGTTTTACGATTTACAAATTTACAAACTTTTTTTTTTTAAATGTTACATAGCTTGAGGAGGGCGCCTATGTGCGGCAGAGTCAACCTTGTAACAATTTTTTCAGCGCACAATTTGCTCTCTTTTTTGATTGAATGACTCTTGCTCAATTGAAGGATTTTATTTTTCCCAGAAGCATGACTAGAGCCTGTAATAGGGTGAACATTTACTCAAATTACACTGATGGCCCAACGGTTAGTCTTTTAACACTATCCATTCAAAAATGTTAAGTTGAAATCTATGGTCAGTAGAGTAGAATCATGCAACAAGTAAAGGTTTATTAACAGTACGGAATTGAATAAAACACAAAACGAACATTTATGTGCAATAAGAAAATATGACATACCAGGCAATGCATAGAACAACGAGGGAGTCATGATGCAAGTGCATTTTCGCTAACATTAAACGCAGCGACACGATGTCTGAACAGGGCAAAAATTATAAAAAGGTAAAAATGAAGTAAACTGAATGCACGCAAGGGAAAGGGATAGTGAATGTCAAACCCTAATTACATACTTGGTAGATAATTTAGGGCATCAGCTGCACATCTACTTTTCATAACGGTGCAACAAATAAAATTCAACTGGGATTTCAAGCTGACATATCATGTTTCTTGCCATGTTAGTAAGCATATAAATATTGTTCTTCAAGCATATAAAATTAAATGCGCAAACAAATAACGCAATGATCAAATTGTGAACTAGGAAGCAGTATTTTCTGTTGTGTGAAGTTATCGCCCTTATAATTATAAATTGCATTCATTTTTTTTTTGCATAAACAAACAATTCTACTAAACCAATTTAAAGTAAAAAGTTCAAGAAAAAACATTTTATAATTTCTTTTAAAATAACTGTAAGAATTTTCTCTTTGTTATAGAATAAGTATTTTTTTCAATTATTTTTATAGTTAATAAACTATGAAACATCTATGTATTATGCATATATATAGTTTATTTCACAAGACCAAAGGGTCAGACGAACAATAAATAGAAAGAGAGGGAGAGTGTAGGGAAAGAGTGGGGAGAGGGAAAGAGAAAGGGCGGAGAGACAGAGACAAGGAGTGAGACGGAGACAGAGTGGGGAGATAGAGGGAGGTGAAAGAAAGATGAGAAGGAGTGGAGAGAGTGATTAGGGGAAGGTGGAATGAGAGAGTGATAAGGGGAAAGAGAAGGGGAGGGAGGATGTAGAGAGAAAAGAGTGAGTGGGGAGAGAGGGAGAGAGAAAAGAGTGAGTGGGGAGAGAGGGAGAGAGAAAATGAGGGGAGGGGGAAGAGAGTGAGTGGTGAGAGAGGGAAAGAGAGTGTGGGGAGAGAAAGAATTGGAAGAGAGAGAGAGGATGAACAGTTAGGGGGGAAGGAGAGGGGGAGAGAGAGGTCGAGGAAGAGGGAAAAGACATTGGTAAAGATTTTGAACTAATCAGTTTTTGTGCCCCTGATATCGAAGGTCAGAGGCATATTAAAGTTAATAGTTTGTGTTATTTTTTCACAAATTTAATCTTCCCTATATTTTTTGAGAAGAAGTTTTAGAATTTATTCATAGAAAATCAAAGGTATTTACGAGATTGAATTTACTTTAAAATCGTTCATTTTTTTTTAACGCAAATTTATTTGGGAAGGGTTCAGAAAACGCTAACCTTTTTTCTGAAGAAAAGAGAAGACTTTATTTTGATTTTTTGCACATTATTTATCTAGAGGATTACAATTATGGATGCTATACATTTTAACTCACCTGAGCCAAAGGCTTAATTGAGCCTTTTCTGATCAAAGTTTGTCCGTTGTCTGTCATTGTCGTTGTTGTCGTCGTTAACGTTGTCGTTGTAAACTTTTCACATTTTCATCTTCTTTTCAAGAACCACTGGGTCAATTTCAACCAAACTTACCACAAAGCATCCTAAGGTAAAGGGGATTCAAGTTTATTCAAATGAAAGGCCACGTCTTCTTTCAAAGGGAGATAATTCCGAAATAGTGAAAATTTGATGTTGATGACACCTTTTAAAAATCTTGTTAAGAACCACTGGGACAAAAAAATTCAAACTTGTAGGAAACCTTCTTTACATAATATAGATTCAAATCTGTTCAAATGAAGTCCTCCTGAGGTAGGTTAGAGCCACAGTGGGGGATCCAAATTTTACATTGGAATAAATAAGAAGAAATCTTTAAAAAGCTGTTCGAGAACAGCCATGAGTAGTCATATTGATATTGAGGCATCCTCTGGTAGTGTAGATTCCAATTTGTTCAAATGATGACCACCGGGGGTAGGGTGGGGCAATAATGGGGGATCCAATTTTTACGTATATAAAAAAAAAATGACACAGGGTCATTAATCTAAGGGATCATTTTTCTACAATCCACACAGAGAAAAATGATCCTAAGGCCATAATTTCTACGAAAAAATATTGAACCAGGGGGTCAAATTTTTACGTAGAAAAATGTTCCCCGGTCAGTATTCTACGGGGGTCACTTTTCGTCGTTACACCGGCCTTATGAGCCTCAAGGCTCGGAGAAGGATTTAACTTTTAACCATCATAATACATTTCTATAAATATTGTTTCTTTTAATTTTCTTTTTAAATATGACATTTTGGCATTATATGCTAATTTAAATAATTTTCATTATTAGAATGTAGTGTAGATAATATACAAGAAATGGCCTTTTACAGATTACCTTATGCACAGTTGGTTATGGTGACGTTGTTCCCACAACTTGGGCGGGAAAACTCATCGCTGCTTTCTCAGCCATTTTGGGAATTTCATTCTTCGCACTTCCAGCTGTAAGCCAAGATTTTTAATAATATTTATTTACAAGTCTGGTTGATATTGATTAAAATTCAACAGATAAATAGAAAATGTTTGGTTTGAACATATTTTATTGTAGTTTTTAATTACAAAGGGATTGGGCACAAGTTCTAAAAACTTATTAAGAAAATGTTTCATGTATATAATTCCAAAGTTTTCAACTATGTACCTCTTACTACATGTATGATTCACTAAATGTTCTGCTAATATTCATATACTTCCAACTTCCAATACAGTTAACCCAAAACAACTGAAATCATGTATCATCTTTCTTTTGCTCTAGGGAATATTAGGATCGGGCTTTGCTCTAAAAGTCCAGCAGCAGCAACGCCAGAAACACCTTATTAGGCGCCGTGTGCCTGCAGCGCAGCTCATTCAGTGTCTGTGGAGGTGTTACGCCGCCGACACCAACTCAATGTCGGTCGCTACGTGGAAACCTCACATGACTCCCTGCCCAAGTCCTACATCGTATGGAATCATGAATTTTTAATTTTTGCAAAACACTGCCAAAGAGATAAAGTTGCAAATAGTTATTACCATATCAAAATTTTTGTATTTTATCCCTTTAAAGTGATTTGATGTTTAGATTTTTATTCTTTACCTGGAGATTGAAGGCATTATTTATAGGAATTAGATTCTTTGTTTTGTAAAAATGACATTCTTTGATGACAGCATTGTAATCGTATAATTATGCCTGGAAAGTTCGGAACAGACGTTTAAGGAATGTTGCAAAATTTTACACCTTTTGTTCCAACAACTCACGACTATGCAAAAGTTGCATTTTTTATCAAAATAACTAAATCGTTATCGATTTAATTAATTTCTTCTACTAAGTATAAACAGAACACTCATTAATATTTGTGTTATTTTCCAGCGAACGTCCATTTAAAACAAACGCTTCGTTTGTAAGTCGATTTTCTACAAGACGAAGAGATCGGTCCTGCTCTTCTAGTAACTCCATTTCTAATAATCCACATTCCCCCCTACTGCCGAGGAAAGATCAAAACAAAAAGCCAAACGGGGCAGACTTATCAGAAGAAGGAACTCTGGCAATTAACAGGTAAAAAAAATACTAACTTCTCCTAAATCCTGTAATGTAGTGTGGTGGTTGTGCAATTGGTCCCTCTAGTAGTAAACCCTTCATAAGGCTTATTAAAAAACAGTGCTTTTTTTATAGCTTATTTCAAGCATTCTTAACTTACCTTTTAAATTTGTAATATTTTTAAAAAATATATTGAAAATAATTTTGATGTAAGAATGAACAGATCTCCCATATTTAACCATAATTTAATAAAATATGAATCTGCAATACATATAATTGTCTGCATATTTTAAAGTATCACTTATCAAGGTTCAATAGTCCTTGACAAAAAGATTTTTAAAACAATTTCTATATATCACCATGTAAAATTCCCTATTGATCCCCCTCCCCTACCCGAGGATGTTGCATATGGTACGTTATCACGGCTCTGCTGTTCTTGACAAGAAATGGGAAAATCGCTAATTGTACATATTCATAATCTGGAAATTTGTTCGATTAAAATATTCAGTTTCATATAACAACATACAGATAATTATGCATATCTACTTATCTAGTGGTTAGAAAAAGGAGAGATCAAATAGTGGACCTTTTCATTATTCATTGCAGTCTAGAATTTACTATTATTTTTGTTGCAAATAGACGATTTCTTCTTGTGAATTCTTAGCCAGTGATTTTATGAAAATATGAGGCAAAATATCAAAAATTAGAATTTTTCCATCTCATATTTTTAGTTCCACCTTGGACAAAAGTTTTATATACTTGTACATCTATACTTCTGCATGTATACATGTATTATAATTACGGACTCGAGTTTTTTGCTTAAATACCGGTAAATCGAAAGGAAAATGTACTTTTCTTTATATATTATAAAAAGTAGAGCTTTTTCAAAAAAAGCTCCGCCGTCTTTAGCAACAACCTTATACAGTTAACTGACCTACACTTATCAGGTCTTATTATTCGGCTATGTATTTTTTCCTTAGCTTTTACTGACATTAGCTCTGTCATGTGAAAGTTCAACCACACGCTCGGCTGTCTCCGTAAACTCCGACTCTGCTGCCGAGATAAGAAAGAAGTGCAAAACAAAGTGAAAAAGAACAAATACATGCTGTTAAGCTTGCATGTAATAAAGATAATTCTACTTACAATGAAAACATAGAACGTTTTTTTAGAAATTGGTATAAAAACTTAATGTTATTTAGAATTAATTACAGCCATGTTCCTCTGTTCGTTTTGTCAATTTTTTTACGATTGAAAATCTTGAAAAAATTTTAAGTAGTACGAATATTTAATCATCAGAAAATCATCTCCCTTGCCTTCGAAAGCATTTCAACCAATGAAATAATTGAATATTTTCAAATCATGCAATTTCTACTAATCACAAAAGAGAGGACTATAAAATATTCAACTCTGTATACCGTCCTCCAAGGAAGGCGATAATCATTGTACTTAACCGAAGTTATTTAAATAGGAACTTTTTTCTTTCTCTCTATTAGGGTTGACAAGGTTAGCTTTTTTAAAAAAAGCTGAGAGTCAGCCACTGGAATACAGAAAGTTTCTTTCTTGTTTTGTGATGGTATATGATTTGTTTTATCCATCATTTTGTGTTCATTAAAAGACATTGTCGTCTAAGTTAAAATTCGAACAGTCGTTTTCTTATTTGTAACATAATGCTGTACATAATAAATAATAAAGCATAGAATAAATTTTAGATAGACTACATCGTGATCTTTATGACCTCCAGTTAATTTCTCTTGGGCGCGGACATCAGATACAGGCCCGTAGGAAGCAATTTCAGTTTGGGGTTGGAGGGTTGGGGCACAGTCATACATTTTCAGTTGGAGGGGCACTATTAACTACCAAAAATTCCTTGACAAGCAAAAAAATTAATAAATAAATAAAAAAAAAGGTCATCAGACATTTTTATTGAGGGGGCACAAGCATATACATGTAGTAGCTATGTTTTCTATAGTAGTCTATCGGAAAAATTATTGGGGGACACGCCCCCCCCCCCGGTTCCTACGGCCATGAGATAAAGTTCGTCTCAGAAATGAACAAAGCCACTATGATCCCAATCATTGAACGTTGAAGAATGTATACATTTTCAATTTTACTGTTAAATTCTATAAATGATATAGATTATGATGCTTAAAAGCAGAGACATATATCTATTATATGTCTCTGTTAAAAGGAAGGTAGACCTTGGGTTAGATTGTGTTAATTAGTTATCATTAGATAAAAGTTTTTAATCGTGCATGTTCGAGGCAATGCATGATAGGGGAAGGGGGAGGGGTGCATACTGTATGTATATTTAATTCAATTTATAAATTTAAGCATTCATTTTGGTGTTATTAGGAAAGAAAAGAATTGCTTCCAAAATAAAGTAATAAACTGGAAATTCAAAATATTTTATACATACAGTACGTATACCCTAAAATGATACTGGATTCCATCTCGCTCTCTCTCTAATTGGGGGGGGGGGGGCTGCCTATAAATCCGCGCAGTTTCTCTCAACTCTCAAGTTCTACTGTGGTCAGTTTCTCACCTGTGGGCGCGGTTCACGTGCACAAGCGGCACTTACGTGTCTATCATCGTGTAAATTAGAAGACTTTACACATCTTAAGTGATCTTCTGATGTTTTCATAACTTTCATCATTAAAGTGAAAAGAGATTCTTTTTTTCACTGTTTGAACGGGACCTTATTGTGTGAATTCCGACCCGTACATGTCTTATGCAAGGTATTGATCAAGGGAGTCTTGCATCAGGCATTCAGAGGAATACACACAAATCCGTGAACTTGCAACGGCGATTGAGGGTATATATATCAAGTGTTAAATGTGCTCTGCATATAAACTTCTCATCTCCTATAAGAAGCACAGAAATATTTTCATAGTATCATATTTCCCACTTAGAACAATCTCTTCTTTAATTTTTCGTCGAGAACGACGAAGAACAATGCAGTCTATAAATAGATCGGGGTCGCGTCTTTGTTTAGAGGGTGTTTGTGAAGAATCACGCCCTTTGGTTGGAGCAAATAGCACGAGTTTCTTTAGAACAAGTCGTGTACATCTTTTTTCCCAGAATTCCAAATTACGCAAGCGCACTTGCAGTTTCATCCCACCGTAACTAGTCAGCCCGCGGGCTGACTAATTAATTAATTATCGATGAAGAATGACTCTCAAAAATCTGAAATTTGAACTCGGAATATTTTAATTATCTCCTTACTGCTGTCGGATAAGTCGGGCTGCAACGTAGTCGAATTATTATAAAAGTCAGACCATAACAAGGTGGAACTTATATCTAATGTATTAAAATTCAAACATTAATAATCATAAACAAGGGACTACGATTAGAAAGAAACAGAAATTTCTCTTTCATGATAAATTATCCATGTATTGAAATACAAGAAGTTCAAACTATGACACCCTTAATAAAATGCTGAATTATAATTATTAAATATTGCAATTAATTTAAAATCAATATAAAGATTTCGTATTTATGTCTATTTCATTGAAGAAATAGTACGTATGCATTCTTTTTAAAAGACATGACTAAATTAAAGGGTTTCAATAGAAAAAAAATACGAAAGTCTTCATTCTATTGCTGAGGAGTCTATTTTCTTTCTACCACTTTACAACGGAAATTGCAGTGAGAGACTCGGATTTTCATTGGACGACCCAAATAGAAAAAAAAATTGGTCCAAGGTAGAAAATATTTAATGTTATGTTCCCCTTTAAGGTCTAATGCAAATGAATTGACCTGTTTGTGATTTTAAAATGTTGGATTTCCGCCAATCAGAAAACTAGAAAGCATTCAATTACATAATACATGTACATGAAATTAAAATTATTCAACAACGAAAAAATCAGCATAAATAAAAGTATGTCGTAGAAAGTTTAATCTTCAAGGGATTTTTATTCAAGTGTTATCTCAGATATTTATCTTGTAGTGAAAGTAATATGCCCGCTCTTGAATTGTGTATAAGGTAACATTTGTACATTTGTGCAGTACACACTACTATCTTTTCAGATTCACTTGTCTTTCTATGCACAACACACCAAGTGGATTTTAAAAAATATAAAGAGCACAAACTGCTTTCCTGAGTTTCTGTAGAAAACAAATTAAACGCTGGAATAACAGAAATGCGTTTCATGATTGTGGTAGAAATAAAATCGACACCGACATTTTTCGTTTCTTGCAAAAAAAAATTTCATAAATCCACTGCCAAGTTTGCATGATTTCATTTGCCAATTCATGTCTTATTCAGCCATTGACAATTATTTTCCTATCTTTTAGTTTAGTTAATCGAACATGGTAAGATCTAATTATCTTTTTTAAGTGTTATTTGTGAATTTAGTGTTAATAATTTAGATTTTGATAGCATTTAGTTCGCCATAAAGTACATGTAGATTTACGTCGTTTTCTAGCCATACGTTTAAGTGTTTCAGATTGGCATGTTATAATCTGTTGAATTATCGAATTAATATTCGATTATCTGTTTATAATCATATCTAGGTGTATTGTATGATATTTTCAGAGCACTTTCTTGTGTATAGATTGCATATACCACACAAATTGCATGCTAAACACAACTAAACAAAAATAAAATTCATAAGGAGGAGGACTGAAACTTGATAACGAATGATTTAATCCATGAACTATTTAACGACGTTAAAAAATTCTTCAAATTCATTTAGTGCATGAGTTGTAGAATTTTTTACTTTAGTAATATTGATATTTAAGTTTGCTTGGATTTTAAGGAGCCATCTAAGCTTAGCCACTGGAATAGCTGATCATAAAGTTGACCATCTACCAATCAGAAAAGAGACATCATCGCCCTCGCTTTCATATAGAGACCCGTATGAAGGTAAGAAGAGTTCCCGAGGACTTCTGAGTGTTTGATGGTTGGACTCGGAAGACCCCTGGTACTACGCAGATGATAACTCAAAAAATGAATAATTGCAAAATGTTGCGTTTACAAAATTGTTATTTTCAATTTTGCCGCTTTAAAAATTCTAAATTGCATGGATTTCATTTTTGTTTTCTTCTCCATTTATTATATCGTCATAATTATAGAAAACAATCTGAAAAGGAGGCGGTGTTCTCCCAACCCTCATCTTCACAATGTCAAATTTTTCTGATATCCTTCCTCTACTCAAACCTTTGACAAAAATTGCTATTCCAAATTCGGGCTAGAAAGCTACTATTTCCCTATTGCTGGTCTAGGACTGGAACCAAATAGAAAAGAATCTTTATTGAAAGCAAGTTTGTAAACAAATATGACTTGTCTATAAAATGGAAAGTACAAGTTTTGTAGGATTTGTAATTAGTTACCGGAGATTAATTTTTAGAAGATCCTTCTTACAGTCACAAAAGATGTTATATGGCTTTGAGCATTTGAAAATCTAAAGACATATTCTCATTGGTTGGTATATAATTACCATTACGTTTTGTGTAACCACAAGCCCAACTTTTAAAAATAGCAACTTATGTCAAGGATTTTTGAAGAGGAACTTAATTGACATTGTGAAGATGCTTTACCCTGGCTTTTGTAAGAAAACAAAACATTTCAGTAAGGTTTATAAAGCGAGTGTGACCTTATGTTTATCTGTGTGCAATGATTATAAAAATACTAAAATTGAGATTTGGAACACAAAAGTCAAAAATATTTTTAAAAAGTTTTGCGGAGATTGATTCAGGGTATGTGATGAATGTATGCTAAATGCCTTTAAGAGAAGCTCAAGACTTCAGAGAAAATGCAGTATATATATATTTTTAAATATATTGCATAGTTCTTACATATACATGTTCTGATGTCTCTTGCGGTAATAAATCCTATCAGGCAAGTTCTTATTAATTGAAATGTCAACATTTTTGTAGATGATTTTGATGTCTCCCCTAAAATGCTACAACTAACAGAAACACACAAGACAGCCATACGGTCTTTAAGAAAAATCAAATACTTTGTGGCAAGAAGAAAATTCAAAGAGGCTTTGAGACCTTATGACGTCAAAGACGTTATTGAGCAATATTCTGCGGGTCACGTGGATATGCTTGGGCGGATCAAAAGTCTTCAACAAAGGTACTTGTTGTTCAGTATGCGATATATCAAAAAAAATATTCTTCTCTTTTGAGACATAAAAATTTGATTTTTGATAGTCTGTGTTTCGTTTTTTTTTTATTTTTTATTATTATAATTTTTTTATTTTTATTTTAGTTTTTGAAAGATTTATTTTATTGAAAAGAAGGAAAGCTAATTAAATATTTTTTCTTCCGCTGCCATGGTAGTTTTTCATACTTTAAAATCATATTTCAGACTTGATGTCATTCTTGGAAAAGTGGGAAGTAAAAGAAAAGATGTTTATGATTCTAAGCAGAGCCTTGCATCAAGGATTGTGAAAGTTGAAAGATCGGTAATACAAGATTTTTTAAAAGCAGTTTAAAGAATTTTAAGACCGTTTGATGATTTTCAATGCTCAGTTCTCCTCTTCTTCTACAGGTAGAGGACATTGAATCAAAGTTGGATTTACTGATTGATCTGTACAAAGAGGACAGGAAGCCATTATTGCAGCACTGTCAAGAATGTTCCATAAAAAACAATTTTCCAGCGGAGAATAATCAAACAGAAGTGACGTCATGCCTGAAAAACCCCACAGAAGTGACGTCATGCCTGAAAAATCCTACTGAAGTAACGTCATGTCTAAAGAATCCAATCATTCCAAAGCAATCTACTCCTCGTTCAATTCTCTTAGATAAACATTGTAGTGAACCTACAAGTCCTACAACTTCACGAACTCCAGATAAAAAGATGCAGAGAAATTTATCCGATCTCAGTCAACGAATCAAAAAACGTGTTACATACAGACTCCTATCTCTCAATGACCAATCAACTCACAAGAAATCTTTAGATCCGAAACGTCAGAGAAGTGTTTCTGTAGACAGTGCCGACATTCTTTGTGATACAAATAACATCGATACAAATCATTTTGAAGAGATCCAAGAAACTGATCAAACAACACAGACGGTATTAATCAAAGACCCACCACCTCCAAAAAAGAACATGTCGCATGCACACGGTCGGAAATACACAAATCAAAATGACCTTGAAAAAACTGATCCTTCAGAGGAAGAAACGCCACTTAACACAACTGTGGCATCAGAAGAAGTTAAAATTGACTTCCTGAGCATCAATCACATAGTCCCTGAAAATGTTGATTTACAAAACTTTCCTGGGTATAAACCAAATGTTTAAATCTAAATTCAATTCTTACTGGCACCGTTCATATATACTACTCAATATCAATGTTGTTCATTCATATCGTCAGAATCAATTTTTATCGGAGGGTTATGTCATCAAATTCGTTTTAGCCCAACAATATCAGGATCTCCTCTCATTTGTTTTGTTTTGTTTTTTTTGTTTTTTTTTTTTTGTTAGATATATTTATATATATCATATACATAGTTTATTATCTGATTTCCCAAAAATATGTGATTTTATTTAAATTTGTCCACTACGATAAGCTGAATGTGTGCGACTTTCAACCTTGTGTTAATATATAAACATTATCCTGTTAGTCATTGGAATGAAAATTTTTGATTCATAAAAGAAAATTCTGCCCAACGGTAGCTATATATAGGGCTTCCTACAAACAGATCCCAAAAATATTCTAGATAATTTAATTTTTTTTTAACCTCAAGCTTTAGTTCTAGCAGTCCCTAAGACTGAGATTGTATATGCATTTCATTTCCCAGGAATAGTACATATTTGTCAAAATTACTAATTGAATTATCACTTTATGAAATGAAATAATGTGAAATCAAAGTCATTCTTGGATATAATGTTTTAGGCTTATGATACCAAGGCCAAATCTTCGTAAATGAAATGCCTTAAACAAATTAAAGTCAGTGACACTTGTTAATATTTGTAGAGGATCCCGGAAGAAGTAAGTTGTAATTTTCCAAAGTTCTGATCATAATTTCCAGTCTAATAAGCAAACAGAATAATTTTCAAAATAATTTTAAAATATTATTTAATTGGTTCACGGAAGTTCAATTTCATTTCTATGTGAACAACATTATTATTAAATTGTGTTAGGACCCATGTTTTTGAATTGGCCGTTTAGGTAAATACTTCTGAATATCAATTGTTGCGAAAACATTTCAATTCTCACGGGACAAGACGAGTAAAATGGACAAAAAGGTAGCACCGGAAGTTCATGTAACCGGAAATGCATTGACTCGGATTTGAACTCAAAGTTTCTTTTTTTTCAAAAATATTGAACAAACTTTGCATACATTGATCTTTAAAATGATGTACATGTAATTGTCTTTTTAGGTCACCTGAGTCACTCAGGTGACCTATTGCTATCTGTTTTCGTCCGTCGGCGTCCGTCGTGCGTCGACCGTCGGTCGTAAACTTTTGAACATTTTCAGCTTCTTCTCTTGAACCACTGAACCAATTTCAACCAAATTTGGCATATAGCATCTATGGGTAAAGGGGAACAAAAATTTTGAATTTCACGGTCCCTGTCCCCCTGAGGGCTGGGGCTAAAACCACCAAAATTAATGCAGTCTTTAAAAATCTTCTTCTTTACTCCTGGACATCAAGCAGTCAAACTGTTGGCATGATTGTAGTAAGCATTGAGCCCTCTACCAAAATTGTGAAATTCATGGCCCCAGGGTCAGGGGTTCTGGTGCTAGGGTTGGGCTATATAGATCATATAGTGAAAGTGTATTATTCCTTTGAAAATCTTCTTCTTTGCTCCTGGGTATTAAATAAAGTAGCTAAGTACATAGTTATGATGAGCAAGAGTGCCTCTTCCAGGATTGTGAATTTCCTGGCCCTAGGGTCAAGGGTTCTAGTGTTAGGGCGGGGCTCTATTGATTATATAGTGAAAATGCATTAATTCTTTGAAAATCTTCTTCTCTGCTCATGGGTATTACATAAAGTAACTAAGAACATAGTTATGATGAGCAAGAGTGCCTCTTCCAAAATTGTGAATTTCATCGCCCCTGGGTCAGGGGTTCTGATGTTAGAGTGGGGCTCTATTGATTATATAGTGAAAATGCATTAATTCTTTGAAAATCTTCTTCTCTGCTCCTGGGTATTAAATAAAGTAACTAAGCACATAGTTATGATGAGCAGGAGTGCCTCTTCCAAAACGGAAAATTCTTGGCCCCTAGGTCAGGGGTTCTGATGTTAGGGTGGGGCTCTATTGACTATATAGTGAAAATGCATTAATTCATTGAAAATCTTCTTCTCTGCTCCTGGGTATTGAATAAACTAATAAACTAACTAAGAACATAGTTATGATGAGCGTGACTGCCTTTTCAGAAATTGTGAATTTTATGGCCCCTGGGTCAGAGGTTCAGGTGTTAGGGTTGGGCTCTATTGATTATATAGTAAAATTGCATTAATTCTTTGAAAATCTTCTTTTCTGCTCCTGGATATTAAATAAACTAAGTTCATAGTTATGATGGACATGGTTGCTGCTTCAAAAATTGTGAATTTCCTGGCCCAAGGGTCAGGGGTTCTGGTGTTAGGGCGGGCTGTATTGATTATATAGGGAAAATGCATAATTTCTTTCCAAATCTTCTTCTCTGCTCCTGGGTATTATTCAAACAAAGGAAGTGCATGGTTATGATAAGGAAGAATACCTCTTCCAAAATTGTGAAATTCATGGCCACTGGGTCAGGGGTTCTGGTGAAGAGGGGGGGGGGGACTCTAATTGATTATATAGTGAAAATGCATAATTTCTTTCAAAATATTTTTTCTACTACTGCTTATAAAGCAAAGAAACAAGTATATAGTTATGATGAGCAAGGATTCTTCTTCCAGAATTGTGAGTTTATGGCCCCTGGGTCAGATGTTCTGGTATAAGGGTGGGGCTTTATTTATTTAATAATATAGTGAAAATGTATTTCTTTGAAAATCTTCTATGCTTCTGGGCATATTCGAAGCAAACATAGTAAAAGTTTTAATATGCAAAGGTATTTTTACCAGAATTTTGAACACCTGGACCATTTAGTCAAGTGTTCTGGTTCTGGCCAGGGCTCTATTAACTTGTATTCTGCTGAGCAAAGTTATTCCCCTTTGCCATTCACCTTTCATAATTAATCACTGTAAACAATGTATTTGAAAGGTTAATAGAATAAAAGAATTATGCAAGAAATTTATACAAAAAGTACTTTCATAGTTTTAATGATCAGGTAGACTTGGAAATAATAGATGAATAAAAACAAAAAGACAAAAATAACTTAATAATAATATCTTTTTAAATGTTCTTCAAAGGCCAAGAGAGGCCAATGTGAGAAGTAATAATATGGGGTTAAAAAAAGACATTTTGTTAATAGCCTGCATGGTAATAGTGATAAATGGGGGCAGATAGATACTAGATCAATTATTTTGTTTATGCTAATCATACTATTTTTCTTGCTTTTGGGCAAAAAAGCTTCATTTATCAGTTTATGGATCCTCTTAATTGTTGTATTGTACTCAGGTGACCGTTAAGGCCCTTGGGCCTCTTGTTAAAAAAGAAGCTTTTACTATGCTTGTACAACTTTTTGTGTCTGAAATCCGCTAACCATGGTACTGAGTATTCCATAAAAACATTCCACGGTATTTTGAATATATAAGACATATATTCACCACCGTACCTCTTTGATGCTAATTCAATGGGATTAGATTACTTGCTAAATTTCACATATATCTGTACTGGATTGAAGGTTTCTTAATTTTTTCAAAACATATTTTCTCACCCAAGACTGTTTGTAAACTATGGATATTTGAATAATTACTGAAACGTGAAACATAGTAAGAAGTATAGTGGGGAGTAAGAATTTTTGACTAAAACAAATACTGTATAATAAATATACCCAGAATAGTTTGTTATACACTCCTAAAACTGAGGGCATACCGAATATCCTATAACTTGTCTTTCCAATGAAGTTAAGTTTAGTCGTTGGCGTACATGTACATTTTATGCATTCAAAACATTAACAAATTCACGAAAAGCTATTTACGTACAATTGCAAGGAGCAAATCTATCTAGTTTTTCTACATTTATATCAAAATTTCAAAAAAACATTTACCGGTTTGAAAACGAAAAATAACGTGTGATTTCATGTATATTGTCATTGTTGATTGTAATGCATTACCATTGTAATACTAATAAACACGTTTTTGTTTAAGAGTTATGTGTAATTGCTTCTATATTCATGCTAAAATACAGACGTAGCATAGACCGTGCTCAAAGAAGTTCAAAAATCTTAGTTCAAAGTTCATAGTTCAAAGAAGAAAATGTGGCTATGGTCTGGCAAATTAACACTATACAGTTTCCGTATTTATTCAAAGAATTGTAAGTAGCATCCATGTTTGCACCACAGTTTAATTTACCGTTTGTCCAACAGCTCCTGAAGGTATTTTACCTGTTACACAGTCCACACTGTTTACATTGCAAGTGTAGTTATTCATGGAGAGTAATCCATTTTCATACGTAACAACCTGTTTTTGATTTTTAATGTATCTAGAATTGTGACTTTAAATTTCGCTTGATATACAAAAATTTCATAATATATTAATCAGAAATATATAGATATGAGAATTTTGAGTTATTTTTTTTGTAATCCGAAACATTATGTTTTAAACTAAATACCAATCCACGTCAAAGAACTGCATAAATTGGACTATCCAGATCTCAAGACCGTAAACTGGGAACTGACTGAATTAAGTCAAAATGTCAATCAAGTAAAGCTTTTGAAATAATTTAAAAAATGAAACAAAATTCTCATCAGGATTGTTGACCCCTGCTTTCACGAAAGCGAGGGGGCATGAAATCTCATTCATCTCTCCGTCAGTCCGTTGGTCTGTCAGTCTGTCTCAAAAAAATTAACCTCATGACCTAGACTAAATTAACTTTCAAGAACTCTAATCTTGGCGCTGTAATTTTTGCACAAGAACATTTTTTTTTTCGAAATGTAAAACATTAACGTTTTTGTATGACGGACAGACAAGCTTGGACAGGCAAGACGGTTAACATATGACACAAATCATCTGAATTTGCTTGTTTATTAAACATTTACATAAACTTGCAACATTTTAAACGTGTGAGAAATAAAAATCAAGATATTCAAAATCTTTTGACTTAAAGGGGCCTGGACACAGATTTGAATTTAATATTTTCTCAAATTTTCTGTATGATATCATGACATGTGTTACTATAGCATTTCACACGGAAATATAATAAAAAGATGTTCAGAAACTTCTTTTATCTGGAAGTTATTAAATTTACGAATTCCGGGACGCGTATGATTGACACATCCTTGTTTGACACATATGCCTGTTTATAAAAACAGATGTTTGACGTGATGTAAAGAAGAATTTTGTTATCATTGAATTCTAAGAATATCCATGTAAGATCAATTAATTTAACTGGTTTTATTTTTTAAAAAAGCATAGAAATTTAAGA